CCCCCAATCTCTTACGTTCTAGGAGCACAGAGTCGGTTGCCTACCTACTAGGCGGACCCTTATTCGTTTTAGTTTTGTTCTATATTGTTCACGTCTTCTGTTACTTTAATGCACTTCGCTCAGCTACCCCGTGCATAATGTTAACGCACGGGGCCCTACGTTATATTTCGTGTCGACCTCCTGGCACGCTGACCGCCTGACTCTCCGCGCGATGAATGCGGCAATATCCTTTTTTGCTGGTAGGAACTCCGGCGGTGTACGCGAGAAGCCCGATCGCGGCAATATGTGGTCATGCATACTGTGCAATGCAGAGGCGAGGCAAATAGCGGTCAAGCAGCCCCACTAGTGCCCTGCGGGGGACCCGGCGGGGGGCCGTGCGGGGGAGCCCTGAGCCCGCCGGTCAGGCCCCTCTTCAGCCGGATTTGTCATAATTTTATTTTTGCGAAACAACATGCAGCCAGCGCTGCACTCTTGTGGGGCGTTGTGTAACGGCCAGGGCAGACCCGCTTGATCCCCTGCAGGGTTCAGAAGCTCAACACGCGCGGCGAAGGTGACGGCGAGTAAAAACGAAAATGAGTTAGGAAAAATGTTAACAATGTCTTAATCCGGAAATGGTTGTTTAATACCTGCTGATGTAACAAGTGCCCGCCGCGGGTTCAAGTCCTCGCGCAGGCGAGACCTTCTCTGTTTTCTTTTAATTCTCGGCACACACGCGGGGCGCGCTCTTTAAAATGCCATTCGGAGTTGCTCCCATTTGTTTTCCACGCCCCACCGTGAGAGTACCGCAGGGTCACGAGCGAGCGACAGAGACAGAGCGAGAGGTGGCGCGGGGGCGGGGCGGGGGTGAGAGTGAGAAGGAGCATGTTTCTAAATTGGGCCTGCATTCGGCAGTCGCTAAGTCATTCAACTGGGCAGTAGTGCCCGACTAGATAGTTCCCCTCCCTCTCTCTCGCGATCCCTCTCTAACTTGTTCACTTTGTTTCTCTCTCTCTATTCTCTCTGTCTCTCCCTTCCCCTTGCACACGCACGCACAGACACACACACACAGACACCGCTAAAGAGCCATAAACGCAAGGCTGCAGGACACTCAAGGGGGCCCCTATCCACCACTCAATTCGGACCGCATAAGAACAAAAAAAAGAAAAACAACAGCGCGCCGTTCTCACGGCAAAAAGGAGTCTTGTATGTTAATGGCGGTTTAGTGTGTGAGCGGGACAGGTGTATGTATCAGTGTTGGTGGCCGGCCGACCCCAGCGCTCGGCCAGCGGCGACCTAGACCAGGCCGCGCGGCCGCGGCGCTCGGTCACCCGGTCT